ATAAACAATCTTCAAATAAATCAAACCTTCCAACAGGATTTTCGAATTTGGTGAAGAAAAAGATGATTTGAGAAGAATCCCCAATCTGCAACTGCAAGCACAAAAACGTGTTCATTTCCCAAAAGAGCCAATCAGCAAACATAAACAATCTCCAACTAAATCAAATCTTCCAACTGGATTTTCCATTGTCTTTCACTAATCTAAGAACATCTAATAAATATCAATTTTAGAGAGAGAGAGAGAGAGAGAGAGAGAGAGAGAGAGAGAGAGAGAGAGACATTAGAAAATAGGAGAAAATAACTCATTTATATATGAGGGCAATTTGGTCATTTCAAGGTAGAAAAAATTTGTATCTGATTTTTGTACATGATGTGTGCATATTTAGAAAATCTTATTGTTGTCCCAAGATTAAAAAAATGTCCTTTTTTTTTTTACTTCCCAAAAAATTTTGTTTGTCAAAAAAAAAAAAAAAAACTAAAAATATTTGTAGTAAATGGGTAAACAATAAAATAATAAAATTTAGAAGTGTGGATTGTAAAATTGTGAAGAAGAAAATTTTAATCTTTACTGTCGGACAAGTTAACAAACTAATGTCTAAGGTGCGACATAAAGACATCCCCTACCATGCCCCACAGCTAGAAAAGACTTTTCAGTGTGTTTATAGCACAAGCACACACGATGTGTTATTATTCAAGTGAAAAAAAATTCAACAAGAAATTTTTTATCCACTTGTGTTGACGTACTATTCCGTATTTGAAAACATTGAAAATATCTCCACAGCTAGCCCACATGATGTGAGTGCTGCGGCCCACATAATAATGGTATCAATGTTGCTGCTGTTGGTCCTGATTCCTATGGAATCTGCTCTCAATCTTACAAGGTATATAGGTTAGCAAAATTATATAATTCCATTCGCAAAAATGGCATAATTTTCTATCCCTTTTTTAGAAAGAAGGATATTAATGTCATTAATATTGTAAATATTCTTAATCACTAGAGTTATAATTTTTAACTTGATTCCTATAGCAAATGCTGCCTTCTTGCCACCAACTCTTACTTTTTGGTGGGGGTCGATGACAACTCCCCTACTTGCCAATCCAGGCTACTCCTTCCTCTTCATCTTTGCTTTTGTATATCCTTTTCTTTTGGCCCTAATTTCTAGTTTCTTTGAGTTTTTGCCTTAACCTTTATGAGCTTGTTTCAGATCGACTAAGCTTTTATGCCCCCTTTTTCCTCCGATATTTCTCCATGTCATTAGTCCTCCACCTGCCGACCTCTGCTACTCAGCTTATCACGTGTCTCTCCTTGACAGCACATTTGGCGTCGGTTATTAAAGTGCTTTTAGCACTATTTATAGGATTATGAGACCACTTTTTGTGCAGGTGGCTCGCTCACCTCTATTTTCAGTTCATCAAGTTTGTTCGTGGGTTCTTCCTCTTAGGGCAGTGGCGGATCGACAATGACAGCACAGTTGTGTGGTAGAGTTTGCAATCTTCTAGATCTAATGTTCTTGTGTGTTTGCTCTTTTGAGCTTTTCTGTTGTATTTCTTTTTTGGGGTATGCTTGTATTTGAATTGCCTTTAGATTTTCTATATCATGTATTAATTTTTTTTATTAATTAAAGTAATAAGGTTTGACCAATAGAAAGACACGTGTAGACCTGAAGTGGTTGTAGTAATATAAGGTTTGACCAACAGTTCGTTTAATATCTAGTGGTCTTCCAAGATAGTCTATCTACCTCCGCCACTGCAAATTAAGCAGACGAAAATCTATCTGCAAGTCAATATTGTACTATTTCAAAATAAATGGTGATTACCCGCATGCATGTAAAAATGTTGGATGTGATGAAACACTGGTTTACATAAACAATGTAGAAAAGTGTTTTTCAGCTCAGTGCTACATATTTTATGGGCTTCATTCTATGCACGCATGCATATTGATCAAACTTTAACGCTGATTTTATACATGCATGACAAGAATGACTAAGCAATTGAACAAACATTAAGCACATCTAATTGTACACATGGACTTTGATTACATTCGAATTCTTCCTCTCTCAATATCGCTTGAAGATCAGGAACCTAGAACACATGTAATCCTGTATGGGAAATCAAATATCTGATAATCACTGTTCTAAAAAGCGGCGTTAGACGGCTGATCACCATCCCGATTAATGCTTAGGTGTTTCAAAATTAAGAAATGGCCTATAGACCTACTGAGGTGCCCGTCTAGACCGCCTAGGCACCTGCCTAGACTCACCTAGGCATCGACTCATTTAGGCAGAAAATAGATAACTTTCATTTTTCATTTTTTTTTCTTTCAATAAATTGTAAGAGACTCGTCGAATACTTAAATGAGCACACATTATATGCTTGTTCCCCATATTTTCATTATGCTCCAATACTTCATAATATATGTGTCATTCTATTTTGTAGTTTATAATGAAATTATATATATATATATATATATATATTTTTAAGTATAAACATACACTTATTTACATGAAATATAATGAATTTAGTTAAATCCGCCCATTCCGCCTAGGCGCCCTCCTAGATCCCACCTAGCCGCCTATACGCTAGACCCCAGCTCATCGCCCGACTAGCGCCTAGCGTCTTTTAGAACCTTGCTGATAATTCCCTCCAACATGTGCACAACACAGGCGACCCATATCAGACTCTGTCACAGCTACGTCCAGCATCCAACAGATACCATGAATCATGGCTAAGTGCCAAATTATCAAGGTCTGGAAAGTTCATCACAACCGTCCAACGTCACCCTCACTTGAATCCATATCCAAGTGGGTCTCAAACTTCAAGGTCAAGGTATGAGTGCAGAACAAGTGCAGTTACTAGAGAGGTCCTAAGTTGGTAAGAGTAATGCCATTGAAACTTATCCTCTTCGGCCATTTGGGGGCATCCGGCTACATGACTCATGAAACAAACGTTGATTTCGAAGTCCGCAACATATATCATACCAAACCAAATATGGCAAGTCCACAGTTTAGATATTTTGAATTGAATTCCAAATTTCAATGTTTAGGCTTGTACTTACTCCCATTTCGTGACATCTTAATTATTATAATAATTTAACGATTTAAATAATTATGACGTGTAGTTTACAATTAAGTTTAATTTTTTCTTTAAAAGAAAGATAATTTCCAAACTACGTTACTACTTTTGCCTTTAGGTTTTTCTGCGTGTTCGTGCGTTGTGTCCTCAGTTTTTGGTGTCTGCGTCTTCGTTTGCTCTTCCTTCACTATTGCGTTGATGTATAATCACTCATGGTTGGAACAAATTCAATAAAGTAAAGTGTGGACTTTACTAATTCCCCAATTGTCTCCTAGCTAGAAAAACTATGGAAGGAAGAGAAATAAGGATCGAGGAATAGAAAGTGAGATGGACCAGCAGAACATCACAATCCATAAATAAAACATAAAAAAACACAACCAAGTGACCAGCTGATATATGAGAAAGGGTTACTTGATTTAATTAATTTAAAGATTCTTTCAACCATATGGGAAATTTTTTATTCAGCCACATAGCAAAGAGAAGGCAGACAGTAAAAGTTAACTATCGGTTTCGAAATTCATATTTTTAATATAAAAATTAATTGTAGTTTACATGTCATGTCTTAAATCGTAGATTATTATGATGGTTATGTAGCGAAAAACGAGTAAATGTGTAAAGCTTTAGAGATCTTGAATCATTTTGCATTAACATAAAAATTCGATCCCGTTTTGTATGATTTTTTTATTATTTTTAAACAAGTTTATTTATTATACAAGGGTGCAAGAAAAGGAGTTCGGACACATAATTTTGTCTGCAAGAATAACATTCATTGCTGCTTGAGCTATAAGTTCTCACAATCAAGCTACAAGTTACATCATTTAATGATACGAGTTGCAATGAGGAGAGAACTTTACTTATAGCGAATATGCAAATGCATGTTTCAAGCTAATCATGTATTGTCACGTATGTTTCAAGCTAATCATGTATTATCATGTGTTTTACCATTTTTACATAATATGTGTACATACTCTGACTTATTTATAGTAGTTACATTTTACTTGTATGAAAATTCTTCTCCACAAGTACAATCACACTTGAAATAAATATATCTCGTCATTTTATTCATATGAGTTAAAAATGAAATCTTTATCAATCAACAGTTTTAAAAATGAAATCTCTATCAATCAACAGTTTTAAAAATGAAATCTCTATCAATCAACAGTGTAACGAAAATGTATCATCATTTTATTTTTGTGAGACTAAATTGAAACAAAACCAAATACTAGTCTTGTTTATCCAAACGATTTTCAACCTTAACTAGACTAAATTGTCACAAGATATTCAAACTTAAATGCATAAAAATTTTGTGAAAAACAGTCCTATAGTTCCATTTTTGTATTATTTATATTTGGGGTTTTGTTTTTTTAGCAAATGATTTTTTTTAGTACATTAATATTTTTACATTATGGGGAGATCCGAGAGGGAGTTCGGCTAAACTACACAATGAGCAACCTAATTTGTTATCGAATTCGTCATCCACGAGATTCGAACATAAGACCTCTCACTTCCAAGTGAAGATGAATACCACCAAACCGTAGTACTGAATGACAACAAATTATATTAGCTACATTAAGGAGATAAAGAAGTTAGCTAAGTCTCATAAGGGCTAGTAATAATGTGGTTTAAATTTAACATGAGAATTAAATATAAAATCTTTCACTTACCAAGTGAAGAAAAATAACATTAAACCGTAATAATAATTGACTTCCTATTTGAGTTTTATGATTTTATTTTTATCTTTTTAGTTTATCCTTGAATTTTATTTTTTTTAACAAACAATATATCTCTTAGAAATGTTTAAAGTGAGCGTCGAAGCCTTAAGAGGGTTTTCAAATGCCGAAGGACCATCTAGTAATAAAACTGTCCAAACCGAAACCCAGCCCCTCCAAAACTCGACACGTAACCACAAAAACAGTGCCAGCCACTACTCTTGCCTTTAAAACTTGAAGAAAACCATCGAGAGACATGCCTGCAGAAGCGGGAACCAAACATCTTCACCACCACTCACTGCCCTCTCTCCGCCGCCATCAACCCACTTTTTTCTTCTCTCCCGGCGATCCGCTTCTTTCGCACCAACCCTTTTCTCTCCTTTTCACATGCATACAAACTCCATCACACGCGACACGGAAAAAAAAAACAACAAAAAACAGAGCAATAAATATCACAGGTTGAGAAAATTCGTCTTTTCGGGTTTTCTTCGATTCTCTGTCCGACCTAGAAAACTACTTTCAAGATTTTTTTTTTTGGTGAAAGAGTCGGATTTGAAACTTTCGAGCGTTTTTGTGAGAAAATTATTGAATCTTTTTCGTGGGTTTTGATCATTTTCTTCTGAGACTTTGAAGGGTGGTGAGAGTTGTAGCGGTTAATTTAAAAAAATTAATTGCAGAGAGGTTGAGTTTTTGTGGCGAATTTGGTGTTTTCAGCGACGAAACTCTGATGGTTTCGATTGTTTTACGATTTGCGTACGTTGTTTGATAGATTAGATAATCGAATTATAAGAAAAAAACAGAGAGAGAGAGAGAGAGAGAGAGAGAGAGAGAGAGAGATGGAGCAGAAAGGCATTCTGCTGTCGGCTTTGGGGGTGGGAATGGGGGTGGGAGTCGGTCTTGGGCTTGCTTCCGGCCAGACGATGAGCAAATGGACCGGAAACGACAAGATGTCGAACGGCGTCACGCCAGATAGGGTGGAGCAGGAGTTGCTGCGACAGATCGTTGATGGAAGAGACAGCAAGGTCACATTCGACCAGTTCCCCTACTACCTCAGGTCACCACCTTTCCCATATTCCTCAGTTTCCAATCTTAATATAGAATTTGATATTCTTACAACTTTGTGATTTTTATGGTTTTCTGAAATTTTGTTCTAATCACATAACAAATTTGCAAAACACTTCCGCGCAAGCGCTTCTATTAGAAGCACATAGCAAGTCATTGTCGAAACGCTTTTGGTGATCTTCAAACACTTTTTAGTTGTTTAAAAAGTACTTCCAAACGTTCCTTGGTTTAAGTTGGTGGCTTTTGCATTGTTTCAACATTGTTTCTGTTCATGACATGTAACATTATATGATGTATCGGACTTTATTCAGTTCACATAATTTGATCCGCAAATTTGATGCCTATATCCTACTTTATGAATGAATTTACAGTGAGCAGACGAGAGTTTTGATAACGAGTGCTGCCTATGTCCATCTTAAGCGAGCCGAGGTTTCGAAGTACACACGCAATCTTTCTCCTGCAAGTCGGGCTATTTTGCTCTCAGGACCTGCTGGTTTGTGATCTGCAACATACGTTATGATGTTTGTATTTACATGTTCTATCGTTGTAATCACTCTTTTTTTTCTGTCTTTTCTCCCACACTTTTTATCTTGAAGAACTTTACCAACAACAGCTTGCCAAGGCTTTAGCCCATTACTTCCAAGCCAAGTTACTGCTCTTGGACGTAACGGATTTTTCTCTAAAGGTGAGTGTGAGAAAATTAAATTTTATGTATATTATGTGTGTATATATATCTATATATACATAAACAAACTTGTGTGCTCATGCGCGGATTTTTATAATCTATGGGATTGTACAGGTGCAGAGCAAATATGGCAATACCAACAAAGCATCTGTAAGCTTTCTTTAAACTATTCCAGCATGTTCTCCCGTGAAGTTAATATACAATGTGTACCTTCAGTTCACTATCATGTTGTCGATAGAACATGGACTACGTCCATAGCCATATGAGAGCATTGATATGATACTTCAATTTTTCCAACCCTCTCGAGATCTTAGTTTTAAAAGAGTTTCCATAACATTATCTGCCTCCAAATTTCCATGATTGGTTGCATACAGTTATTCATTTACTTATAGTTTGTAATCATGTGTGGTGTAGTCTTTTAAAAGATCCACTTCAGAGGCGACACTAGAGCGGTTGTCTGGGCTGTTTGGATCATTTTCACTCTTTCCGCAAAGGGAGGAACCGCCTAAAGGTATTGTGGAAAACTGTCCTTATAAATAGAGTATCATATGGTTCTGCGCCCTCTGGCATAGCACTTACCAGGAAATCCGCTTGCAGGTAATTTACGAAGGCAAAGAAGTGGTGTGGATCTCGGATCAAGGTATTGGGAGGGTTGTTAGAAAGTGAGATTGATTACATAAGAGGGTTTTAAAATGGTTGTCTTTTAACTATACTTTTATCCTGCACCTGCAGTGGGCTAGAAGGTTCTTGTAAGCCTTGCATGCTTCGTAGGAATGCTTCAGCTTCAGCTAATATCAGTAACCTTGCTTCTCAGAGCACTCCTGCAATTTCAGGTTCTTTCTTATAATACAGAAAAAATATTATTGCAAGAGAGAGCTAGCCGTTCGCTCTTTACTCATATGTTTGTATGTTACTATCTATTTACAATGTCCCTTTAAAATCCTATGACTTGATCCAGTGGTTGTGATGGAGGTTTGATGAATCTTTGAAGAACAAAAGAAAGGAATTTCTGTTTGAAATATTCTTTAAGAAAATTATAGGAGATTGCAAACATCATGATCCTTTGTGTTAGCTAAAACACATGCCCTTCGATGCATTTTTCATGTTAAGAACATATTTGGTTTCAACTTTCTTCAATGGTATACACTTGTTAGTTTTTTTATTTGTCCGCGTTTTGTTCTTTTGGTTTTTGATGAATCCTTTCCAATTCTTAGGTGAGTTTAAGCGCACAAGCAGCTGGTCTTTTGATGAGAAGCTTCTTATACAGTCCCTGTACAGGGTAATGAGTAGTGCTTTTATGCTACATTATGGTTGGTGATATAAAAAGTTTCTATAAATGGAATATAGATTGGTGAAACAAATTTTTATTTGATTTCAGGTTTTGGTTTTTGTCTCGAGTACTAGTCCCATTGTGCTGTATCTTAGGGACGTTGACAAGCTCTTATCTAGATCGCAAAGGATATACAACTTGTTCCAGAAAATGTTGAAGAAATTATCTGGAGCCGTGTTGATCCTTGGTTCACGTGTTGTGGATCTCGGTAGTGACAACAGAGAGGTCGAGGAGAGGCTTACTGCTCTTTTCCCTTACAACATTGAGATCAGGCCTCCCGAAAATGAATCACATCTTGTCAGCTGGAAGACTCAACTGGAGGAGGATATGAGAATGATTCAGGTTCAGGATAACAAAAACCACATCATGGAAGTTCTTTCGGCTAATGACCTTGATTGTGATGACCTTGGTTCTATCTGCATCGCAGACACAATCGACCTCAGTAACTATATAGAAGAGATTGTTGTATCAGCAGTTTCTCATCATTTGATGAATAACAAAGATCCTGAATACAGAAATGGGAAACTCGTCATTTCCTCCAAGAGGTATGGTTTTTATTTCTTATTTATAATGATTTTTTCACTATGTACATACCGTGTACCTCACGTTTTCTCTGTAAATCAGTTTGTCCCATGGATTAAACATATTCCAAGAGGGAAAATCCAGTGGGAAAGATACAATGAAGCTGGTAGCCAAGGTTGAAGTGCCTAAGGTTTGTTGGACGAGCATTGTAATTGTATTATTTTATAACTCAAGGATTACAGATTGAGTACTAGATTAATCATTCTCTGGTTAATCCGTTGATCATAGGAAGGAGGAAATGAATTGTCTGTTGGTGTAACAACAGAAACAAAAACCGAAAGCACTGCTCCTGCTGCAGAGACAGCAGCTGCAGCAGCAAAACCAGATGCTGACAATTCAATTCCAGTATCAAGAGCTTCTGTAAATCACTATTCTCCTTTTAGTTTCTATTGTTTATGTCATTGTATTATGTGTCTTTCTACTCGTAGATTTTATGTTGTTTATATATTCGACATGCTTTCTGAAGTGTACCATATGTGATTCTCTTCCCCCCTACTTTTTCATCAGTACTGATATTGAGATATCACCATATACTACTTAATAGGCAGAATTCGATAATGAATTTGAGAAACGCATAAGACCAGAGGTCATACCAGCTAACGAGATCGGTGTAACATTTGCTGATATTGGTGCCTTGGATGAGATTAAAGAATCCCTTCAGGAATTGGTAATGCTCCCGCTGCAAAGACCAGACCTTTTCAACGGGGGCCTACTAAAGCCTTGTAGAGGTATACTGCTATTTGGCCCCCCTGGAAGTGGGAAGACTATGCTGGCAAAGGCCATAGCTGGAGAGGCTGGAGCAAGCTTCATTAATGTATCCATGTCTACCATTACCTCTAAATGGTTTGGTGAAGATGAGAAAAATGTCCGAGCATTGTTCACCCTTGCAGCCAAAGTCTCTCCAACCATCATCTTTGTGGACGAGGTTGATAGCATGCTTGGGCAGCGAACAAGAGTTGGAGAGCATGAAGCTATGCGGAAAATAAAAAATGAATTCATGACTCACTGGGATGGGCTCTTGAGTAATCAAGGAGACCGAATCCTTGTTCTTGCTGCAACCAACAGACCATTTGACCTTGATGAAGCAATCATCAGGCGTTTTGAACGAAGGTACCAATGCATCTTTTATACCTTCTAATGCTGCCATATATTCTGTTTATTGTTTTATCCTTATGGAGTCCAAGATAACAAACTGACACCTTTAAAGAGAAATCGATATAATAAGTTTGCAGTGAATGTTAGTGGGACATAGCGGTACTATCAATGGAAGTAGTAACTGAAGATTGCTCACATGATTTTTTTCCTTATGATAATGCTGTGTTTGAAACAGAATTTTGGTGGGGCTACCGACTGTAGAGAACAGAGAGATGATTTTGAGAACCTTGTTGTCGAAAGAGAAGGTGGAAGCACGACTAGATTTCAAGGAGGTTGCAACTATGACTGAAGGATTTAGTGGAAGTGATCTTAAGGTCAGCATATTTGGTTATATATTTCTTTGTTTAGAGGTTCGGTGTATACTTAGGTCTGATGGACTGCAACATTACTTTTACGCAGAACTTATGTACAACAGCTGCCTATCGACCAGTTAGGGAATTAATACAGGCGGAGAGAAAGAAGGATCTGGTAAGGAAGTTTAAATCAAGGCATGCTGGAGTGTCTTAGATTCAATGAAAGATGATCCTAATATTTTTTTTACCTGTGTTTTGGTTTTTAGGAGAAAAAGAAGACAGCTGCACAAGATGGTGCAGGAGAACGGAATCCAGAAGCTGCCCCAGCAACAGAAGTAGAACATAAAGAAGAAAGAGTGATCACCCTCAGGCCCCTAAACATGGAAGACTTCAAGCAGGCGAAGAACCAGGTATGTTCACCGATTGAACTGCCTTTCGAGATGTGGCTCCTTGGAATGATCCACTTTGGTTTTTGTTACGTGCACTATTCACGAACTTAAACTTTTCACCAACTCTACTGCCCACATCAGGATTTTGCATTCAGTTTGTTTATTTCATTTGTATATTAAAGGTCGGCTTTATTTGTGTTATTGGGAATGCAGGTTGCAGCTAGCTTTGCAGCTGAGGGAGCCATGATGAATGAATTGAAGCAGTGGAACGATCTATACGGGGAAGGGGGGTCACGAAAGAGAGAGCAATTGAGTTACTTCCTATGAGATTGGTGGTGTAAACTAGTACATTTTTCCACGGTTAGTTTTGAGTATCAATGGTCAAACACTTCTTGTTCCTTCAGTTCTTCCTGGCACAGGTAAGTCAGTCACCAAATTTGAAGACATGAACAAACAGAATTTGACCGAAGCATAGGCTGTATTAGGATGTGGAAGAGAACAATCTTGTATTAATCTTATGATTCTCCTACGGTTTGTGAAGGACATGCAAATGCTCGGATATAAACTTCTTTTTGTCTTGCTTCTGCGTTCTGAGAATAAGGCGTGACAACTACGAATATCTGGATTGTTGTGAACTACTGTTTTCATATGTAATACTAATAGGCGGAACACCGTGAGTGTTTAGATCGGTGTATCCAACCATATACAGCTTTCTCTTCGTTTGTTTCTTTGTTGCTAAATTCCTGCAGAGAAACTGTGGAGGACATTGTGATTTTACTGATTTGTTTTAGACGTACATGAGAGTTGAACATGTTCAAGTTTTTTCGGTTTAATTTTCTGTGTACTCAAGTATTCTATGGTGAATTTCACGTGATTGTGTGGCTTAGGCATTCCCCTCCCATTTGAGTTAATTTTCTTTGCTTTCCGTGGATGAGCTAACAAACACGAGTAGTGCTATGGTGATCATATTTTTAGGTCACATGAACTAACCATACCGCGTAGCATAAAAAAAATATACGTGTGCGTGTGTGTGCGGGTGTAAAGCAATCGAAGAACAATATAAGAAGTGAATACTTTGGGTAGAATATCTGAACCTCTTAGCATGCCGATGTTGAACAACATTTTTCACCCACAAACGACTAAGATGTAAAATCCAATCCGATCCCAAACTTGGCACGTTAAAAAGATGCGGGACATGCGCCCTAAAAACGAAACGGTCTCAAGAAAGTGGCGAAGCCAACTTGATCTCTCATCGTTCAGTTTGTTTATAGATAGGTAAATGAATGTGTGCGAGAGAGGAGAGTACGTACCATGAAAAAAGGTGCTTGAATGAGAAATAGAATAGGGGGAAACCCTCTAAAGAAGGCGAGGGGTCCTCTTGATTTTAGAATCCAGAGGGCTAGGATTTTGAAACGGTAATTTGCATGTTGTAGCACACAATCCTCACATTCAGGCTGTGGTGTCAACAAAATATAGTTGTGAGTTTAACTCGTTCACTTCAAAACAGTGTCTTGTAGGCCCAAATCACTACTAGAATCCCAAATCTATAATGTTTGGACTTGGATGTCAATTTCGCGTTTGTCTAGCTACTCTTCCATCCACTCAACCATTGGTTCTACATTATTTACTTTTAGGCTTATTTTTAGCTATGGTTCTTGGAACTCCATTTTGATCATACTTTAGCCCCAATTATAACTCAAAAATCACTGTTTTACTCTTTGAAATTTAAAATTTGCTCAACTTTGTCTTATTTGTTTCAATTATGTCAAACATCTGTTAAGCTTACTTATGTAGCATGAGTATGGTCCACTTGTCACTGATGTGGCACAAGCATAAGGTCCATCCAATTAAAATTACCACATAAATTAAAATGGCCACATTAATTAAATTAAAAATAAGAAAAAAAAATGCCCACCCCCACCAGCTACCCATAAGCCAAGGCCGAGATATTTCTCCCACCATCTTGTCGTTTGGCGTGGCCTCAATCCAACCTTCGCTCTAGTTTTCTCTCTTCCTCCTACTTCTCTTTTCTATTTTTTTGGGTAGTGTTGTTCACATACCCCTTTAACCTCCCACATCCTTGTTAACTTGTGTTTATTAATCTTCTTCAATCCATTTGATCCAACGACCAGAAATTGAGAGATGTGGACAAAAATCGGTATGTAGATAACACCATCCTTGTTTGTCTCTCCTCCATATTGTTTTCTTTCTAGTTTGTCTCATTGCTTTTCATTTCATTTGATTTTGATCCCATGCTCTCTTCTTCCTACATCCCATCCTCCCATTTTATCGATCTTCTGCCCTTTTACTTTATTTTCTTCTTCTTCTTCTTCCTACTCTACAAAATTTTAAAAAGCTACAAGATATCATAGTATGAGATATAAATATGTGGCCCATTGCCAACTATGATGAGATTACAATTTTATCCTTACACGTCCAACATATTTGACAGCTTTTGGACGAGTAAATAGAAACAAGGTAAAGCAGAACGAATTTTGAGTAACTATGAGTTAACAATGTTCTTCTTGTGTATAATAGATGTGGTTATGGCATCAAATGTGTTGCTGACTTCTGCACTGAAGCAATTACAGCCGAGGAAGGAACATGTGTCGACCTTGGGTTACAGAAACTGAAGACAAGGTTGCTAGATTACTGCAAAGTTCAATAATTAGTTTGACTTTTGTTGTGCCAAACAAGGGGACCCTAGGAACACCTTAATTCGCCGAAACTGATGAAATGACCTATTGAGACGAAAGAATAGAGAATTCTTCGTCCATCGAGACTTGGATAAATAACCAATTAACTAATTGCAGTGTTGTTAGTCCAAACTAAAGGTGCTCCTAAATTGCTTGGCTTTACGGCTCCAGTAGCTAGGGTTTTTCACGTAGAGCGTTTTGAGTTCAAGGGGTTTCTTCTGTTGCAGAACCTTCTCTATTTATAAGCTAAGCCTCTATGGTAAACAAACATGCTGAGGCAAAGCCCTAATAGGACTGTACTTGAACATCTGCTTGAATATTCCCTTTATCTATTAGCGGCCAAAACTTCATCTCTAATTCCAGTTGGGGCTCTGAACTTGATCTTGTTATAAGGTTCATTCATCTTTATCTAATTGGGTATTCTGATCCTTGGGATAATTCATATTTATCCAATGATTAATCTCTAGCAATTTTAACTCGTATAGGACTCGATCGACTCACCCATGCTTGATCTATTCACCATTCTTTCTTCATAAGGACTTGGTCGATTCTATTTAGGGCTAATAGCCTACTAGCCTCAAGGACGCACTGAACCAAGAACCGTGGTCCTTAGGTCAACCCATCTTGGCCCAAGCTATTAATTTAGGCACAAACAGTTTCAGGAAATAAAGTGAGATTAAAGTTAAGTTTCAATGCTAAAAAAAGCTTTTATTCTAATTTTCACTTTCTTTTTGTTTTTTAGTGTGATTTATCCAACCTGGTTCATTCTTTAGTCGTGGTTGCAGGTATATAGGTGAACTCGTTGTAAGAGACGACGATCATCAGTATACGTTCTACTATGAGTTTATTGCAATGATTTTAAGGGGTTGTGATCATCTAGAATGAATAATGAACATGAGAGTTATAGCAAGGATATTGAACATGTTTTTTACAAGTGATATTATATTTTAGTCTAAACTAATTTGGATGCATCATGGATTCAAAGTTGAGTGCATATGATGCAATGGTGAACTGACAAATATGGCCATGCCGACATCTACAATATTAAATTTTTAAATGAAGTAGTTTACTATTATTTACAAACATAATCTAATGAATTATGACTAATCTCTTGTTGAAGATTAGAGTTATGTAAAGAGATCAAGAATCTAGAGAATTTAGAGAGAGAGATTGTGTTTGTTGAAGAATGATTCTCATTAATTGTCTGAAAAAGTACAAAGTGTATGTATACATAATATTCAATAATGCTGACTAAGCATTTTTTCATAACTAACTCTAACAAACCAAAACTTAACAATTAAGCTAAGTATCTAGGTATCAGTCTGATGCATTGTGATCATGGTTAGTAGGTGGTCCTTCAATATCCTTAACACACCCCTTCAAGTTGAACATAAGGGAGCAAACTGAAAGGTTGTGACTAAAAGTAACAAATATGTTTGTAGGTGAGGATTTAGTGAAAATATCAACAGTCTGTAGTAAAGTAGCAACATGATGAACACTGATATGACCTTGAAGAATATTTTCTTGGATGTAGTGATAATCGATCTCGACATGTTTTGTTCGAGCATGAAAAACTGGGTTCTTAGTTAGCGTAATAGCACTCTGATTATCACAAAAAATGATAGGAGTTCAAAGAAGAGGAAAAGAAATATCTTGCAATATTTTACACACTCAAGTGATTTCTGAAGCAGTATTGGCTAAAGACCTATACTCTGCTTTTGTAGAAGATCTTGCCACAGTGGTTTGTTTCTTAGCACTCCAAGAAATCAAATTAGGACCCAAGAATACATAATAGCCACTGGTAGATCTTCTGTCTACTGGCAACCTGCCCAATCAACATTAGACCAAGCTGTGAGAACCTGTTTTCCTCGTCTGAACCATAAGCCTAAGTCAATTATACCCTTTAGGTACCTTAAGGTCATTTTGCCAACTTGTAGATGTATAGTTCTAGGAGCATGCATGTGCTGACAAACCTGATTCACAGCAAAAGCCAGATCAACCCTTGTCCATGTCAAGTATTGCAGTGTACTTATAGTTGACCTATAAGATGTAAGATCTGAAAGAATAGTGCCAGAATGATCCAATTTGGTTGAACCAACTGGAGTAGAGCAGGGTTTGACACTAAGCATGTCTGTTTTCTTGAGCAAATCCAAGGCATATTTGGATTGATTGAGAAAGAAACCAATAAAGGATATTTGAACTTCAATTCCTAGGAAATAATGGATATCTCCAAAATCTTTGATAGGAAACAAATATTGCAACTTGGAAATTATGGAATGACAAACAGTAGTATAACTATGATGATATCATCCACATAAACTAGGATAAAAGTAATGGAAGAATCTCTATTGATGAAGAGACTTGTATTAGAGTAGGAAGAAGTAAATCCCAATGAGAGAATAACATTATAAAAGGCTTTATACCAGGCCCTGGGTGCCTGTTTTATACCACAGAGTGATCTATTCAGTTTGCAAACATGATGAGGTTTGGCTTAATCAATAAACCTAAGAGGTTGCACCATGTATACATCCTCTTTGAGATAGCGATGAAGAAAGGCATTGCTCACATCCAATCGATGAACAAACTAATTATATGTAACTGCAATAGAGAGAAGCATCTGAATAGTTGTAGATTTAGCTACTGGCTAAAGGTTTCGTAGAAATCAAGACGTTTTTGTTGATGAAATCCCTTGGCTACTAACCGAGCTTTGTACCTCTCTATATAACCATTAGCCTTGTGTTTTATTTTGAACACCCATTTACAACCTACCAAATTATAATGAGGATTGAAAGGTACTAGATCCCAAGCATTTGTGGACTGCAGAGCTTGGTACTTATCCTTCATTGCTGCCAACGAATTTTAGTTCTTGGAAGCTTAGAGATAACTGGTTAGTGTAGGAGGAATAACAGTGAAAGATCAACAGTGGAGGGAAGATGATGTTTAGTTGTAGTGAACACTTTATGTTTGTGTATTCCAGCCTTAGCCCTTGTAACCATTGGATGATTATTAACTGGAATAGAAACTTATTTAACTTCTTCTGTGGGTGGAGTAATTGGTACCAGAAGGGGATAACTAGCAATAGTATGAGAGACTTCATTGGGAGTTGTAGTAGGTAATGTGATGCAAATGGAAGTGGT